AAATTTCTTTGTTAACTACATGAGGTACTTCCAGCAGTTCTGTTATTCCTCGAACATAATTACGTTGAAAGATACGCAATTTCAAAAGCAACCTTTATTTTGAATTTTTCACCGTTTTTGTCCGTTTCATATTGTCAGCGTTACAATGAATCGCTCCTCCCTTTGCCAAGATTAGATCATAGTTGGTATTCTCTATTTCCGTACTTCCATTCAAACTGACCTGTTACGTCAGTGAATAGGCAAGACATTCTAAAGGCACTCATTTTAGTTCATCTGCATCTGAATTTCCACAAGTTAGGTTCAATTTTTGGGTTCACTGCTCTTCGCCTTTATTAATCTTTTTTAATAAAAGCTCTACATTATTTTTAAGAATTAAATGAAGTCAACTAGGGTAGCATTTCACCTATCATCAATCATCGTAATGCCAGCCATTTATCGTAATCAATGCGAGTTGAGATTAGCTCTCAGCGTACAAGTAAGCGATTAATGACTGAGATTTGATACTTTCAAACAAAATGGGATCCCATTTTTTCTATCCTGACGCAGAAAGCCATGGTCAATGGGTTGTTGTTTTCTATACCTGCTTTTCGTGATTACTGTGATGGTAAGGGCACCAAAAGCTCATATTCATCGCTCTCCACGAGACTTATGTGGGCAAGTTAGTAATATTGATAGCAGCAAGCCTTTGTTTTAAGTAGCTTTAGTACTGAACGGTGTTGCTACCTTAAAAGTAATCACCCTGCACTATTCAGTGTTTACAAGCACTGGAGTTCCTGCATGGCAACAATGTGATCCACCGCGACATCAAGTCGGACAACATCCTGCTGGGTCTAGATGGCTCGGTGAAGCTGACGGATTTTGGATTCTGTGCACAGCTCTCTGCTGAACAGAATAAGCGCTCAACTATTGTGGGCACACCCTATTGGATGGCACCCGAGGTGGTGTCACGGAAGCAGTACGGTCCCAAGGTGGATGTGTGGTCGTTGGGCATCATGGCCCTCGAGATGATCACTGGCGAACCGCCCTACCTCAATGAGATCCCGCTCAAAGTACGTTCCCTTCTCTCTTATCCTCTCTTCCTCTTGCCCCTTCTTTCCCCCTCTCTTCCTTCTCCAAGCCAACTTTAGTCGACTGCCTTCCGTGCCCG